TCTTAGTGCAAAGTATATCTAAGAATATTTGAGCAAACTATTATCCAAAAAAAGGATGCGTTTAAGGACCGCGGCTTCTTGAGGGGATCCAATGGAGAGCAGGGTCTAGCATTTGGAGGTTCAGGGTCAGTGTTAAGGAATCTCCCTGCATGTGGGCGCCTCAGGCTGGACAGGAATCAGAACTCGGGGTGGAGGTGGAAGTCTCCTGGCAGGCAGGTCCTGGCAGGTGGAAGCCCTTGGTTCTGTCCTCATCCCCCAGACGCTGGGCTGGGCCTGATCTTGAGGGGGTCAGCCCTATGAGGGGTGGAAGGCAGCGTATGGATGCAGTGTCCACACAAATTTTAAAACCAACTAGGCCAAGATAAAGTCCCAGTGACTGGAAGGTGAAGTGGACCGTTCAGAGCCAGCGGGCAGGGGTAAGGAGAGGGCTGACCTACCTCTGCTGCAAGCTAGATGGACACCTGCTTTGGGGTCCACTGGGTGGCACCCCAGTGGCACTGCCCAGCCCTGAGGAGGAGCCAGAGACCAGTGACCAGGTCACACAGGACTTTGTGTAATGGGGTGAAGATTTTGCCTTTCATCCCACATCTGGGGGCACCCCTGGAAGTATAAACAGGTGGGAGCACCATCTGGCGGGCAGCTTGAAAGTCAGGCTGTGACCTGCAGGTCGGGAGTAGAAGGGAAGGAGTTGGGGGCAGCGTGTGGAGACCGGCTAGGCCACGGCGCCAGGTGACAGTCTGCAGCTTGTCGTGGCTTTGCATGGGGAGCGGTCGGGCTCGGCCAGGCATCCTGCAGGAGGCGCTGGGGCTGCAGGGAGAGGAGGGCCCACCTGGGTTCTGCTCTCAAACTGGAAGGACAGAGGCTGAGGCCTGGTCTCACTGGCAGGTCCTGTGAGGTCGTTGTTTTAGATCCTTTGCGTTTCTCTTCCACACAATGTTACTGTACTCCTGTGAAAACCTCCAGGAACCATCTCCCCCAGCACCTGTGCTCCGAGAGGGCTCCACTCCCCATTCCACACTCCCGGAGGAGGAGGGGCCAGGTGCCTTGGCCGAGGCCCCGCCTTTCTATCGAGTATCTTCACGTCCTTTGCTCAGAACACGAACGGTGGTGCTAGCGAGGAAATGGCTGGCACAGCGGTGTCCTGAGGCCCCAGGGTGGAGGTGAGGGCCAGGACACACCTGGCTGATCAAACCTGAGAGGTGTGAAAGGCAGGAGCTGGCGAGAGGAAACCTTGCAGGTCAGCCATGTGTGCAGCAAGTGCAGTGATGGGGTGGCCGAGGGAACGCTGCTGGGAAGGGTCCTGAAGGGCATCTGGTGACTGTGGGCACTGGATCAGGCGCAAACCTGGCTTCCCTCTAACTCGGCCACACATTTGCTCTGTGGCTGCAGAAAAGCATGCCTCTGCCCCAGCCTCTGCCCCAGCCTCGATTGCTTTATAGAAGGTACACGACAACCCCTATTTTGTGGGAAACAGTGTGACATTTAGACACTGTTTGAAATTTTTCCCCCAGAAGACATTTCTGTCCGTCCCCAGTGAGATCACCCATTTGTTTGCTGTTTTGTTTGTGGCCTGTTGGAGCGTCCGTACCGTGAACCCCGCCGCTTGCCCGGGTGGCCGGGATGAGTGAAAACACTCTGCTCAGCTGAAAATCTTCACTGCGAACACCCAGGTACTAAGGGCAACCAGAGCCAAGATGAAATTACAATCTGGGAAGCTACCAGAAGGATGCGGAGCGGCTCTGAGCCTTATTCACAGCAGAAAACAGTTGGAGAAAGCTGAGTTGTAAAGGGAGGGCGGGCAGGTGGCATTGCCTGTCTAGGACGTGAGCACGGTTGGCGCGGGGCGCCCAGGGCCGTGGGCTGGGCGGGGTGACGGCGGATAAAAATGATGGGAGCGGGGACTCGGGACGCGATGTGAGGAGATGCGGATCAGTCTCGTTCAGGTTTTAAACTAATTTTCAAACATGCAGGATACACAAACCTTAGCAGTTGCCATCTAAAGTGCCTGAAACTATTTTGCCTGCCCTGCACAGGGTCCTTCGCCCTTTGAAACACCTTTTATGTGGTGAGTTTGAGTTTGGGTAAAAATCAAAATCAAAAACAAGCAACTATAAACACACTGGGGTGGGGGGCGAGGAAGGAGTAGGGTCAAAATAAGGGGGGGTGGCAATTGTATGGGGACTATAACCAAGATGAAAAGGCATATATTGTGCAAAAATGAAAAATGGTCTAAAAAATATATAAAATACAATAAAAAAGTGAAAAAGGTTAAAAAAACACCTATTTAAAGTGCATGAAAAGGTCAATTTTGGCAGCTGTAGAAACCCATATGGACACTGTCCTGCTCAAGACAGCCTGGTCATCCCCCAGGGCTCCCGATGACTCCCTAAGTTTCTCCCATTGCCCCCAAGACTCCCCCATGCCCCTTTCAGTGCCCCCATCATTTGCATGCCGCCTCCAGGCAGCTGCACCTGCCTTGTCCCTGTGTGTCCGCTGGGTTTTACCTGAAGGGAGTATCACAACCGCTGCTCTGTTCTGTGAGCGTTTGGTGAAGCTGTGTTGGTGCTGAGCAGTGCTCTCAGTGCACCCCGATAGTTTTCTGCTCTGCTGCTGCTGGACAATTGCCTTGTTCACCCATTTGGGGGAACCCATCCCTCCCGCAGATCAGACCTCAGTGGCAGAAGAGGGGATCCTGACTTAACGCGTAGGAGGGTGGTCCCGGTGTGCCAGCATTCATCAGCTGTTTGGCTGGAGCGCTGCTCCCTAATTACGTGGGGATGAGACACAGACCTGGCACGGCAGGGACCAGAGAGGCGGGCACTACATTGGACAAGGCTCTGGGCGAGCATCTGGGGCATCGTGGCTGAGCGCCTTTTACACCCGAGTCCCCGGCGGCACCCCCAAGCTCCAGGGGACTTCCTACCGGGCAGGGGAGGGACCTCAGGACCTGGAAGTTACTGTGGTGGATTAACTTGAACCCTGTTCCATTTCCATCATGATTTAAAGTGAAGTCTGACCAACTTGATCCTGTTACCTCCAGTCCCCGGCCAGCGCCCTGCAGCGGGGAGCCCCAGCACAGGCATCCCAGCCCCCCTCCCCACCACCCCCGGAGCGCCATGCCTGGCACTGGCCACTGTCTACAGATTCGCACATGAAGAATTATCTCAACCTTCAAAATAAAATGCTCTGGAAGGCCTTTTTAAAAACAAACTTCAAGACAGTGATCAAAACCTAAAACTTTCTTACAAAGTATGTCAAAATCGTATAGCCTGGTGCAGTAAAAGTATTTTATAGAAGTGTTTCTGCTGTGATCCTGTTGTTGCCAGAGCCCACTGCATGAAGGCGTGTTCAGATTTTCAGTATTTGCAAGTTAAACGTCTGTCCAGGTTACCTCCCCTGAGGGTCACATCCAGAGTGGCGACATCGACCATTTAACATTAGAATTAAACCAAACACGGGCCTCCCTGGTGGCTCAGCAGATTGAGTGCAGGGCTATGGAGCTGTCTGCGGCCTCTGCAGCGTGGGTTCCATCTCCAGCTGGCCAGGGAGATACCCACATGGTGTGGCAGACCTCTACTGTCTTGCCTGCTGCTCCCCTCAGCAGTGTATTTCTGTAGGTCTGCCTGTTCTGCTCCCTGCTCTGTCTCTGGTGAAGCCTCTCATCCTCCCATGCCTGTGACCTGTACCCCAGCTCTTGTATAAATAAATCTTTAAAAAAAAAATACAGGAAGGCGTTTGGATGCTGGACTCAGTAAAACTGCAGCTTACAGACCAAGCCAGCTCCTGTAATGTGTCCTAAGCACTTCCCAGCCTCAAGAAATTGAGATATTAATTTCTGCCTCATTCATTTTGGACAATTCGATAAGCTACTTCAAGTAAATGGATAAAATGAAAAATCATTTCTAGGGTTCCATTTAAGGGGATAAGAGCAGGGAGAGGCTCTTCCAGCGGGTTCTGGGCGTGTGTTGAATACGTTAGTGCCTCCCATCAGCTGGAGGCGGGACCCAGGAGGATGACGCTGCTTGTCTGCTGAGTCTTAAAGGCCTCTCAGGCTGTTACCACCAGGAAAGGGCCTTCTGCTGCCAGTGCTGGTGCCAGCCCCTCGCCGCTGTCCGATTTGCACCCCTTGGCCGGGCCAGAGCTCACCTGCTCTTCCCTTTGGCCCCTCCCTCATGCACACCTGGGGCCAGGCCCACGTGGACTCCTTGCTTTCCTGGAAGCTGACGCTTGTAATGCTGCAATTCTATGCATAGATCTACACCCACCACAAAGTGAAAATGAGAACCACAGAGATGCAGTCACCCACGTGGTCATCTGCTGGTCACTCGTGCTGCAGACATGTGCTGTCGGGCACCAGCCTGGCTTCCTGCTCTTCACATTGCCTTTCTGAGCAAACCGTTTCCACACTAACATTCAGAGTAGTCTGCGATTGTTGGGACCTGGAGCTCCCGGCCACCGTTTGCATCTCTGCTTGTCTGTCTCCTCCCTTCTCGAAATGGAGTCTTTAGTTTCAAGCTTCCTAATCTGGTGACCCAGCCCTGATCTGTGTGTTCTCTTCCCGGTTCCTTCAGTTTCTCTCCCCTGGACAGCTTAGAAAATAACTTGAAAAGCACATTGATCAGAATATCCAATATTTTCATCCCCTTTTATATTATCAGACTTCCAAAGATGAATGTTAATATCAACCCAACTATTCTCTCCCAGTCTTGCTTCTAGCTGGGGGAAAAAAAAATACTCACCACGAGTGTGCTCACTTGAAAGTAAATGACAGCAGCAGGGAGCGCCTCTCCACACCCACTGGAAAGCCTGATCTTTGTAAAAGACCGAGCACCCTAAATGTGGGTGAGGATTGAAAATAGGCCTCAGAGTGTGGGCACAGCTGCTTTTGAGAACCCCTTGACTGTTGCTTAATAAACTATTCACCTATTTATCATCCAGCAATAGTATTTCTCTGAGTTCACTTCAGAAAAATATATCTGAGAATAAGATTTGTACACAAATGTTCCCAGTAACTTTATTCATTGTCTAAAGTTAGAAACAAGGGATGGACAGACGGCTCACAACACAGTGTCCTGGAAGTCTGGACGCGGAGAGAGTGGGTCTCCAGCACGTTGCGTTGGCGCAAAGGAAGCAGACCAGGAGCGGACTGTAGGAAGCTCTAGAACAAGCTAAACCAAACTGCAGTAAAAGCAAGTTGAGAATAGCGGTTTCCTCTCTGGGGCAGCAGGGGAGAGTGTGAGAGAAACATCTGGGGTGATAGAATTTCTATAACTTGATTGGGGTCACATGAGAAACACATTTGTCAAAACTCTGTGCACTGTGTATTTAAGCCGGGTCTCTGCAGTTCACGATGTTATTTCAATGAAAATATTTTAGTTAAAAATGTGCGTGCCGCTGGCTTTTCCCAAGTTTAATCCCTTTCCAGGGACTTCCCATTTCACTCAAGTTGTGCGGTTTTGCCTTTCAGACCGTTCTCTGCGTGGTCTCTCCTGTGCGTGGATGTGACCGCGCGACCAGCTCCCTCCGCACCGTCATCTGCCCTTGCTGGCTCGCCGAATGCCTTTCCAGTTCCCCCTCTTGCGAGCATTTTGAAATGGCAACGTCTTTCCTTCTCCCTTCTCCATCCCTCTGCTGCAACCCAGGTGCCCGGTGTCTGTCAGCATCACTGAGGCTCTCTTGGCCTGTGTCTCCACCTTTTCCTGGTTCTCGCCCTCTGACCTCTCTGCTGTTGGATACTGTCGAGTGACGCGTGCCCTGAATGCTCAGCCTCCTTGGTTTTCGTGATATCACATTCCACCCGTTCACTTCCCATCTGAAATCCCTTTGCTCTGCTCTTTCCCCTTAACATGTAAATATCGCTGTCTGTGTTGTCCCCAGATTGTGCCCTGCGTCCTCCTGTCCGCTTAAAACTCCTCTAGAGCAAAAAATACTTAGATGTCACTAACGGCTACTAAATATCTAGCTTCAGGGGTCAGTGGCTGCCCGAGATCCAGACTGCAAGCCTTTGCTTCTGGTGCTCCCCATCCACGTCCAACCCAGGTCCAAATCCCTCCCGCTACCAGCTAGAGAAGCTCTTCCATCTGGAGCGTTTGCTTTCCAAAGTTCTCAGCAGTACCTGGCAATGTAAAAAAAACAAAAACAAAAAAAAACCGAACACAACAAGCAAAGCTAAGAAATAAAACGACTCCAGCTGATTTGGATTCTTGCACTGCACGGCGCTTCCCCATCATCATGAGCGGTTTGTTGTCCTCATCCTTGATCCTGGCTGCCTCAGGCCCTCCTCGTCTCTGACCTGAGCTGCCGTGAGCTCTTCCTCGGTGTGGTCCTTCCCTGCCCTTTGCGTTCTGCTCTGCCAGCAGCGCTACCTTCTCGCTAGATTACAGGTCTCGATGGGCGATTCCCACCCACGTTTTAATGGTTATTCCTCCACTCCCTGAATAAACCTCACGCAACGTGAAGAAAAGTGGTTCTGGGATGTGGCCCCCAAACTCCATGTGTCAAGCATTGTTCATTGACTACCCCTTCTCCCTTGTCAACAAAACCTGATGTGAGATGTCTGGGGTTCCCCCTTGACCCTGCTGCTTCAGGGCTGGCATGTCTCCCTCTTCTGTCATGGGATATACTTGGAAATGTCCTCTGGAACTTCCTGGCAGAGCTTTTCCTCTCTGGATCCATAGCCTCTTTCATCACAGCTTTTGAATACAATGGCTTGAGGACACCATGTTTGAAGTCCTGGAACCACATTGCAGTGGCAGGGAAAGGCAGAGGTCAGCATGCCAGGTCTAAACCATGATGCCGCTAACTAGCACCAGCCATGTGCTGACTCCCATGTGGCTTGAATGGGAGGAAAAGTCCCCCTAGTGTTTATGCCCCCATTAATCAACTAGATGCCTTCTCAAATGACACTCTTCAGGTGGGACCACCATCTCCTCCCTTCTCTCCAGGATCAAGGGGGAACAGTGCTCCCAATTTCCTGGCTTGACTTCACATGGTAATCTTTGCCCGATGCCCTTTTCTCCCATATGGACTCCTGTCTGTCCTTTAAACTTTCTCAAGGTTCATCCGTGAAGTTTCACCGATCAACTGTTTCCATCACCTTTGATACTCTTGATTTTATCCTCATCACTTACTGACATTATTTATGGGCGTATCTACACTCACTTCTTGTCAGCAGGGGCTGTAGCTTATACTCTTCTACATATACTTGGAATAAAATATCTGTGGAATGAAACAGAAAAGGAAGTAAGGGGAATCAACCCTTCCCTTCCCTAGCGTGTGTCTGCATTTCCCTATGAAACTCTCGATCTGATCTTGAAAAGTATGACCAGACATTAGCTTGGCGTGAAGTCCATCTGCTTTGGGTCATGATGGTTGCTTTGACGGTCTTACACAACTTTGCAATGACCGTAACTGTTACTTGTAGTTTCATCACAAAATTTAAGTGCTTGTTTCGTGTATATAAATTTTACACGTTAGTTGGTTTTTCAGATAGAGATCATTGATGCTTCAGGCCACATGCATTCTCAGGTTCAGGCTGAACAAAATGAACACAACTGCATGACAGACATTGATTTTTATACACTAATCCAGAATATATCTGCTACAGCTCTAAGTACAATAAAGTAAATGCTGATTTTATAGGGTGGTTATGTCTCAAATGATTTGGTAATCTTTTATGATCTAGCAAAGATAGGTAATCGCAGGATTCAAAACTATAAAATGTCTAGCATGTAACAGCAAATCTGAAAAAGGCTGTAAAAGATTCCATTATTTCATAGGGAATCAAGTCTTTTAAAAGTCATAATTAAGGGCCTACCTGGTGGCGCAACAGGTTGAGTGCAGCGCTGTGAAGCTGTCCACAGCCTCTACAGCACTGGTTTGATTCCCAGCTGGCCAGGGAGATACCCACATGGTGCAGCAGACCTCTTCTGTATCCCCGCTACTCCCCTCAGCAGTGTTTTCGTTGTCTGCCTGTTCTGCTCCCCACTCTCTCTGGTGAATCCTCTCACCATCCTGCGCCTCTGGTCTGTATCCCAGCTCTTGTATAAATAAACAAAATCTTAAAAAAAGAAGTCATAATTAAGAGAACTGACATCAGCTACCAGGAGAATCACCTGAACTTATATCTGCTTCAGAGGTTATGACACAGCTGGCAGGAAGTTTAAAGGCCTTTCCGTCTCAGCACTGTCAAAAATTGCTGTGATTTTTGAGAAATCCTGAAAGTTACATCTTTCTTGAGCATGTTGTGGGGAAACTGGTATTTAAGATGCAGTGAAGTTTCATTCTTTTCTCTTCCATATTCTTTCAACACAGTGGTGTTGGCCTTTCTAACTTTGCTAATAAAATCTCTCTTGTCCCTGTTCCTCACCAACAATCGTCTCAAAGATCTACCTGCTCCTCCAGGAAACGAGATCCCAAATCTTGCAAAACCACATGGTCACTGTTACATGAAATGCTGTTTCCTTCTACACAAGAAACTACAGCATTAATTACCAGTTGTTGAGATTCACATGCACACCCCTGGGCAGAGATGACCCTGTCTTGTGGCACATACAGCTCTAGCTGATAACTTCTTCTGGAAGAGCTAACCTCCTGCAAAAATAAAGGATAAGGAGGAAAGTGCCCTCCAGGGATGCAGGCAGAGCTACTGGCAGAAGGTGAGCCACATACTTCTAGAAAGCAGGTCTCAGTGCAGGGCTAAAGTCATGGCAAGATGGCGAGCCAGGAGACCTCAGTGGCAGTATCACGAAATACTGGGATAGCAAAATAACTCGAAGACCACACTGGAAGCATCAACAAGCAGAATGAGTAGTATTGCTGGAAATACTGTAATAAGTAGGAAGATCGCTGATAATGTTATTTTCTGGATCCAAAGATGAAAGGCTTATGTACCTGGAATTTGTCAGCATTTCATACTCACATCTCATTGGCTAGCCCAGAGGTGCTGCTGTTAAACACAGCTATGAGGACATAAAAGCAGTTAAATAACTTTGCAAAGTTAAAAACCTGGATGCTTGGATCTTTGGTGGTGGATGTGGAATGATGGCGCTCATTGGAAGGGTGTGAGACTGTAGCCCTGAAAGTGTTGTCAATCGTGCAGCTTTAATAAAAATTAAAAACTAAGATTTCAATATAGGTAGCCTGAGTTCAGCATGTATATCGTAGGTCCTGATGCTATTCTACAGAAAGGAAAATTGTGTTGAAAACAGACTTGTGAACATCGTTAAGTAGACCCAAAATGTCAAGTATGGAGTTAGTCAAGAAAAATACCACATACACTTATTTCCAAAGCAAAAAAAGTGAATAAAAAATTTATAGATACTCTAAAATACTTTCACAAAGTAAAAGATTACCTGACTCTGCACACTGAAGGTACATCCTCCTGTGTATGGGAAAACAGTTGAAATAATGCTCATAGCTGTATCTGCATAAGTTTATGAATATTAAAATTCCTTAGGGCATCCAGACAGATTGTCATCTACAAAGAAGAAAATTCAGATGCTGGGAGAATCTCCACTACAGTCATCGTTAATGAAAGTCACTAGAACTTCACCAATAAAACACTCTGGAAACAGACCCAAGGTCTTTCTACCAAGCCAAACAATTTTTAAGTAGAAAGGCAATGGGAAAGTTTTTTTTTTAAAAGATTTATTTATGCATACAAGAACTGGGGTGTAGACGGAGGTGCATGGGTGAGAGGATTCACCAGTGACAGAGGGGAGCAGAAAAAGTAAATCTACTGAAATACACTGCTCAGCGGAGCAGCGGGGAGACAGGAGAGGCCTGTTGTGCCATGTGGGTAGCTCCCTGGCTGGGGATGGAACTTGTGCCGCAGGCTGGCGATAGCTTGTGGTAAGACTTTAACCACTGTGCCACCAGGGGAGGCCCCTAAAAAGGTATTTTTGAATGTTGACAGGGATACAGGAAATATATTTCCCATGAGTAACATTTTCCATCAGTATCTACTAGAGGATACACTTCAAGAAACTGGAAAGGATTTGTGCCAAGCCTGTTCCTTTGGCTAAGCCTAGATGCCACCTTTCATACCTGTGCATCAGGTCATCCTGAAGGTTTTATCTTCAGTGTCCAGAACAGGCTAGTGAGCTTACATCATTTAGTTTCCCAGGACCGGCTGCCACCTCCTCGGGCCTGAGGGAAGCACTGTATGCCTGTGTTATAATCAGATTAGTCCCTGATTTGTTTGCTCAGTGTATTGGAGGTGGATGTGAAACATGTCACTTCCCAGGGGACACACGCAGTGGAGGTGCTGACAGTCTTCCGTTTCTCCCCCATGCTGAGAGCCCACACTCCCCGTGGCAGATGCTCTGGCTACTCTGGACACTGAGAACTCTGAAAAGTCCGTCAATCCGGAATGGACAGGGCTGGAGTGGGCACCCACCGTGTACTTTGAGCCAGGGACACGCCAGTATCTTTGGCTAGAGATTGTGCATAACTAAGACTGACAGGAAGATATAACGGTTGTGAAAGAAAACATGCAGAGCCTTAGAAGCAGGTTTCTGCCCCAATCTGTCCCATCACACTGGATTTCTATTTTCTTTGCAGGCTTGTGATCATCATACTAGAATTTTCCCAATGCATGAAGTCAAGTTTTTGTGGAAATAGATCTTTCATATTCATGATTAACATATGTAATGATTAACATAACATAATCCATATTCATGGATGACAAATATGATCTGCCTTATACCCAACACGTCTAATTCTTGGTAGACAGCGAGGGAAGGTGGGGGCACCAGAGAAAAAACTATCAGCAAGTCACCCATGAGCAGCTAGTGGAGAACCCAGGTTTGTGAGGGGAATGTTAAGAGGGTCATTAGTTCCTTGACTGTGGGTTAAGAGGCTCTAGTATAAACATTCACTCCACCTAATACTCTGTGGCCATTTGAAACTTAGACTTTGTGTTCTTACCTCACATGGCTATGCCCACGCTGCGTGAGGTCTGAGCTGGTGATGCAGATGGTCCACAGTGGTGTTTGGAAATCAAGGAAAAAAAACTAGGTACCTAACCCTTTTAAAAAAGTGGTATCCTACAATGTTGCTGTTACAAAATAAAAATGTAAAATGACCTGTTTTTAACCACAACAGTCGTGGAAATGCCCTATGTCCCCCGCGGTGGGCTCCTGCAGGCTGCCTCTGGGGTTCTGTCCCGGGGAAACTTAGTGACTGTCTTGATAGTTCATGACAAGCTGGTGTCACAGAGGAAGGGGAGCAGGAAGTAGAGAGAACTTTCCAGACCACTTCCAGGTTCTGAAATTTTCTTGTTTGATTTTTATTGCCTGGCTTGTCACGTGTCAGGTGTGTTGGCCGCCTCGATGCCGGGGAATAATGCCGGGGAGAAGCCAGTTCCTTCCCATCTGAGGGTCCATCCTGCCAGCAGAGCTGAGCGACATGTGGACAGCCCCTTCCTCGGAGACACACGCAGATGAACTCAGAGCAGCGAGCCCTGTGCTTGCCAGAGTCATGTCTGCGTGGTTTGAGGCTTAAAATTGTAACCAGAGCAACATTGTTGGACAATTGGACCTTGTTTTTCAACCTGCTCTCATCAGGTACGACACTCGGGGCTTGGGCTGAGCTAGGTGGCCAGGTCTCTATGCTGTTTCAGATCTCCTTGTGCCAAACCCTGCCAGTTTCATTGCAAAGTTATTAACTCTCCATTCACTGGAGCTCACTTACTCCAGTTCTTGTTAAATTACGTACAGCCATTAAAACACTTAGGACGGGCTGCTTTTTAACCTAAAAGTAGTTTAGAAGACACATACCCTATTGTATTTGGGACTGTGTGTGATGTCTGACTGTGTGTGTGAGACACACACTCAGTGCAGAGCTCACTGTTAGTAACAACTTCTCACCCAGCATCAGTGCCTCATGGAGTGTGCAGGTCTGTGTACCCTAAAAGTGCATCTAGTCTGCTTTCCATGAGGACAGGGATACTATTAAAAAGATGCAGTAAGGTAAAGCCTCATTTGCAGCATGTCCTTTGCAGAAGTGCCTGTCGGTGCGCCTCCGGCCAGGTCGTGGGGGACACTGTGCTCGGGGCGCCTGCAGTAGCCAAGGTGGGTTTGTCCACTCACCAGTATTTGAATCAGATGCATGTGGAACAGTTGGCGAGAAATCCCCTGTCCTAGGTCCTATGCCCCTCCTCTGTCAATTAGAGGAAGGAGAAGCCGGGAGAAAGGTTTAGTAGTTGTTAAATGCCTGCCTCCTCCCTGCAAAGTACCCTATTAGGAGGCAAAACACACGACAGGTGGTGTCTAAATGAGGCCCCTTAAGATAGGGAGAGACGCTTGGATTTCTCAGGTGCATTTAATCGAATCACCTGCGTCCTTAGAGGAGAATGCACTTTCCAGCTGGATGCGGGGGAGGGGGCCGTGGCATTTCCAGGAAGATGGCATGCAGGTGCCCTCGCTGACAGGTCCTGTGGAGGGGTGGGGGAAGGCTCTGGAAAAGGCCCTGCGTCTTCAAATAGGTCCTGCAGAATCCAAGATGCAACCCCTCCAGCCTCGGGCCCGGGCTCCAGCCACCCCCCGACACACCAGAGGAGAGAGGTTTCTCCCACACCTGCAGAAAGGCCGCCAACACCCTGCCTTTGGGCTTGTCAGAGAAAGCTCCCCACATCCGACCCACAGATCTGCGGGAGAGCAAACGTGTGTGGCTTTTCGTCCTCGAACTGTGGTGCCTGGTTCTGTTAGCAGCGGAAAATGCACCCAGAGAGACCCTCGCTGGCCCGGCAGTAACTGGAAGGTGCACAGCCTCACTGGAGCCCAGAGCAGGCACGCAGATGCCCCACAAGACCTACACGGGGCAGTTGAGGAACCTGCTCTGCATTCCTTCAAATCCTGAGAAAATACTGTTCAGGCTGCAGAGCTAAGTCTGTGTGAGTTACGAAAAAAAAAAAGGGGGGTTCACGAGTAAAGCAAGTCCCCTTCTCAGATTCTAGGGCTCTTCTCAGCACAGCTGCACTTGGACTGTGGGAGGGTCTGAAAGCACCTCTTGCCTGCGACGGCCCTTGCAGCAATGATGCGCCTGCTGCTTTCTGGGCCAGATGTGGGCTTTTATGCGTTGGGCAGGAGATTATCGAGGACTCTCACTATAAAAGTGTCCGCTCTGGCTCTCATTAGGGAACAAATGAGCTACGGCCGGTCCTGAGGCGGAACAGAGACATGGCTGAGCCCAGCTGCTTCCTTCTCTATTCCAGGGCGGGGCAGGCCAGCGTGGCTGGAGATTGAGCAGGCCCCCTGTCGACCCCCTACTGGCCTCCAGGACACCCTTTGATTCCAGCCGGTCCCCAGCTGTCCCGCATCCTGCCCCCCTCACTCAGGAGGGACAGGGCCTGTGGGCAGCGTGGCCGGCCTGTCCCTCACAGTTTGAGTCTTTGTTTCCCTCTGGAAGGCACGCCTCCCTCCAGTTGTGGAGCAGGTTACATTTGTGAGAACAATTTACCTGATGTGGCAACTTGCTTTCCCGTTCGCCTAGTGGATTCAGTCAAACTTCTTTTCAAAGGGTTGTCAGGGGCTTTTTGTTCTGGCTTCCACACGGTGGGAGTCACCATGGATAAAGGACTCGGCTTTTTGTTGTTGGTTTGTTTCTGTTTAGGCTATAGTGGCTTACAGCCCTGGACATGACTCAGAGATGGTCACGTGTCTGCAGGTGAGTATCCCCACACCACGCCCACCACCAAGATGCCCACCCCACACTCAATCTCTTCTCTCCATCCCCCTCCAGTAGCCGCAATTCTACAGATTTCTAGGGTTTTATGTTTTTGTCTGACCTTTGCTTTGTTTCTCGTAAGCCCACCTCTGACTGACATTAGCAGCTGTCTTCTCCATTTGACTTATTCCAGTGTCACCCTTCCAGTTCCATCCGTGTTGCTGCAAATGGCAAGAGCTCATCTTGTTTCACAGCTGAGTAGTGTTCCACCGTGTGTAGACCACATCTTCCTGATCCACTCCCCCGACCTTAGGCCCTTGGGCTGTCTCCACAGTGGGGCCATCGTAAATCGTGGTGCAGAGAGCATGGGCGTGCAGCTCTCCCTTTGAGCGGGTGACTCTGCATTCTCCAGGTAAACCCCTCACTGTATTTTTTTCCCTGCCTCAAACTTCATCAGACTGTCTGGCTCTGAAAAATACACAAAGTGTACTATACAAAGAAGCACTTTGGTTTTACTGATTCTAAATTTATTGCCTTTTTAATTTCAGAGGATTTTTTTGCTCGATGTGTTTTGCATAGTTTGACTCTTGGCAGTCTCAATGTCTACCAGGACCCACATCCAAAAATCCGGCCCTGGTGTAGGGATCGATACACAAGAGCCTTTTGCCAGAGTCATTAGTCTCTGCATTTATTCTCTCTCAACGGCATACTCCTAAAAGACGTGAAAACTTCTAACGCAAGGCCTGTGGATGCTATTGTCAGGCCATTTGCTGCTCTGGGAAAAACTTGTATTTGTAATCAAGACTTTCAAAACGTTTTACTTTTCTGCATAGATCAGTAACTCCCTACAAGAAGTGGCTTCCGCTTTGTGACAATCACATTAAAAGTTTCTAAGGCATCGTTTGGTCGATGCTATGGTTGGGCCAGCCGCTGAGCAGAAGGTAGCTGATGTAACTGGCTGCACCAAATCACGAATTGCATGTTTTCCAAAATCCTCAGTTTTACAGAATTTTTTTCTTACAACCTTCTTGTGTCCACGCACCTCTTGAAATCTAGTTCTAAAAGTCAGCCACATGCAGCCCAGGGAGGATGCCACACTCGAGCGCCCCAGAGATAGGTCAGGCCCTGTGAGTGGCCGCCTTCCAGGGTGGACTTGAGGGCAGGACCTCCGCTGGCCCCCACGCCCTGTCTAGTGACCTCCGTGCCTGTGGCCATTAATATGCACCCGCACTTCCCTGGCTTCCTCTTCACCCTCCCCCGCGAGAGGAGAGGCCCCACTTCATTTCCACCAGAGCAGTGGGGCTTACCTGGGGACCGCTGTTGCGTGGGCGGTGTGCGACCGGCTCCTCTGACGCAGGGAATGGGAAGGTCTCAGAAATGCAGTTTGGTGTTGGAGTGTCGTGGCCGATGAGGTCACAGTGGCCGATGAGGTCACAGTGGCCAACGCTTCTCCATGATGCTGCTGACGTGAAGCAAATCCAAGCACCTCAACCTCTGCCTTTCCTTTGACAAAACAGAAGGAAAGCATCCCAAGGCGCCCGTGCCTAGTGTCCCCAAAAGCTGCGGGCAGGTTGGTTATGGCGGGGGTATCGGCCGTGGCGGGAGACGAAAGTCCCGCTGGTCAGTGGCAGCCGTGTTCTTTTTCCAATGTGGAGGGGCGGGGAGCAGAGGCGTGCACAGGCGAGGAAAGGACTGGGGGCCACGGAAGGCGCATTTCCTCGCGTCTGAGGCCCTTTGTGTGCTGGGCATGGAGAACTGGGTGTTCATCTTGGCCAGGGAAGATTTGTCCACGGTTGTCCACATCACTGCTGCAAAACTGACCACCATGCCATGTTATTCCCAAACAGTCTTTCCTTGTGTTCAGTGTCCTAGACGCGTGAGCTCATCCATGGTGAAAAGCTATTATGAAATGTAACAAAATGTCTGTTTTGTTGTGACCTCAGATGGTTCCGTTTGTGGTTTAACTGTTGTTTGAAGGATGGGAATGCACTTTCGTTGGCTGTTTAATTCACTTACGGTGAGATCTGGCCAGTTTTAGTCCTATGGAGTAGGCATTCTGCACGGTTTTGAATGTGAGAACTTCAGTTTACTTTCAAATATTAATTTGATGGTCATTACAAATGTCTCTTGGTTAATTGTACATCGTAGAGGTTAATTAGAATTGCATAACAGATTCATCCACAGGAAATTGTCATTAAGATCAGACTTTCAGGAGCGAGGGTGTGTGATCCTCGAGCTGATGGAGTGGAGTAGAGGAGGTTTACGTTGCCCTGATATCAGTAGAGAGACGGTGTTTACTTGCTGGTCCCGCAGACACACTTGCTGGAATTAACTCTCACATGTGTGCGTGCACACGAACATCTGCACACACAACACACACGTCACACGTCCATCTGCACACATCAGCCAAGGAAGAGGAATGAGCTGATTTATTATTAGTCGTATGTTCCTTTCCATTCATTTTTATTTTCCTCCTGGACCGTAGTTTTCTCCTCCTCCAGAGAGCAGTGAAGGAATGTGAGCAGAGGAGAAAGTAAACTGGATTTTTCTTGTCCATATAAGCCTTGAAGGCATGGATCGCTCAGGGCACCCTCGAGTTGGCAGGGGTTCCCAGGTGGAAGTGTAACTCATATTCGCGTGAAGGTGCCAAAAGTCGGATTACTTGGTCTTGCCTGCCTTTGTATGCAGAGGACCAGTGTTTTCCAGAATATTCCTGGGCTTTCTTGAAGCAGTCGTGGGAAGGAGAGCAGACCTGGGGTGTGGAGGAAGGCGCTTGCCGGGGTCAGTGGCAGGGAGTCGGCCCGGTGGACAGAACTGGGGGAGGGGAGAAGGCGCCCCGAGCTTCCCGGCAGCCTGTGACTCAGGCCCCTTTTAATGTCCAAGAGCCTCGAGTCCTGATTCAATTTTTGAAACTTCCTTTGGATGAGGGGCTTTTTCTTTGAAACTGAGTCTATGTGAGAAAGTCCCTGGCTTGTATTTGGATATTTTACTTTTATGTGCATTTTTTTGGTTTTATTCTTGTGATTCTGATTCTTCTTATGGAAAACAAATGGAGAACATTTTACAACTTTCAAAAACAGTTTTAAAGAGGCCTAAACGCATTTGTATTGTCTTGTCTGCTACTCGGGTTTGGAAAGGCTAGGGGTGGGGGGGGGGCTTCCTTGTCTCAGCACATCTCCGCGGCCTAGTCCTCGGCCTGGACACACGGGCCTTCCTGCCCGCAAAAAAGGGCTGGCCTCGGGAAGCACTGCTGTGGCGGCAGCATCGTAGTCGTCCATAGTTCTCTCCTGAGAACACGCGTCAGTGTCCCAGGAGCTCACGGTGTGTGTCTGTCCCTCCAGATGGTACAGCCCGCTCTGCACCCTTGTTACCTCCTCTGATATTTCCTCTTTCTCCAGATACTGTGTTCTAAGGGTCTGCCCCCTCCACCTTCCCCCTCCCCTCCCACCACAGGTCCCCCCCGCCCCAAACACACAGCATGACTGTCACTATGTCTGGCTGTGAACTAATTAATACCTGGAGTCACTTAGTCGTTCCGATGCTTCAGTGAAAGCCTTGCCTGTGCCAGGCACTGGGAGTTCCCTGGAGAGAGTGGAGACTGTCGCTCTTGGACCTGAACAATTCGATCATGGCTTTTAGTTTACCTGCATTTCCTTCCTCTTAACCATTTTTAGAGATAATGCTCTTTATTTCTCACTACACTTCTTGCAATTTTAAGGCCAAGGCTGCTTTGAAGGTGGCATGGAATTGACTGTGATCAATTGTCGCAGTAAATACTCAAACTCTGTCATTTGCATTCTTGGGCTTTTATACCAACCACACAGAAAAATACCTGCTTATTATTTAATGTAAGTGATAAGCTCAGACTACGGAACAAATGCATTTGCGAGTTGGATGTCAGGTGAGTACGGTCATCGCTGCATGTGCCCCCTTGTTTATTAATTTCATCCCTAAATTTCGTGTTGTGACTTTTTTCAAAAAAAAGATTTATTTATTTATTTATACAAGCACTGGGTATAGTCAGAAGCGCGGGAGGGTGAGAGAATTCACCAGAGCCAGAGCGGGGAGCAGAGCAGGCAGAAGGACCGAAGTACACTGCTGAGGGGAGCAGCGGGCGGCAGGAGAGGTCTGCGCGCCATGTGGGACCCTCCTCCAGTGGCCAGGGAGCAGCCGGGGATCAAACCAGCTCCTCAGAGGCTGCGGGCAGCTTCGCAACCCAGCGCTCAACCACTGCGCCACCGGGGAGGCCCTGTTGTGACTTTTCATTCACTGCTCTGTCTTCTGTCAAATTCTTAAACTGTCAAAGATGAGTCACTTTAGGATTTTAAATTTAGTAAATGGTCAATCTTGTTGGCATAGAATTCATTTGGTGGAGGAATTCAAAAGTTCAATTGAGCCGTATATGTATATTACCCAAATTTGTAATTGGGCAGTTTTTGAAGATTCCTGACTTGCTATAATATGCTATTTGACATCTTTTTTTTTTTTTTTACACATTTTCAAGTATTTTAATCCAGGAAAAGAGATAATCTGATCCAGCTTGTTAAGAGTTTATCCTTTGATGTGGTACATATATACCATGGAATATTACTCAGCATTCAAAAAAGATAAACACATGCCATTTGCAGCAACATGGATGGCGCTGGAAGGGATCATGCTCAGCGAAATAAGCCAAAAAGAAAAAGAAAAATACCGGATGGTCTCACTCATAGCAGGGATCTAGAAAACTTAAATAAGGGACCAGGAAAATGAATAACTATAAGAAAGTGAAAATCAAAATCAACAAAAACTATGAACCAGAGACACTTTTTTGGGGGTGGGGGGCGGGAGGGGAGGGATTGGGGTCAGAATGGGGGGATTGCAATTGTATGGGGAATATAAAAATAAAATTTATTAATTATAAAAAAAAATAAAAAATAAAATGTATACTATGTGCATACATCTTGCTGTATGCACATATTTTTATTTTGAAAACTCACTTGTAGACTAATAGTCATTTCTTTCTAAGGGCTGTTATATAAATACATAAAGCCCTTGACACAATGCCTGGCACACCCCCTCCACCCCCCCCAAAAAAAAATAAAAACCACCATTTTTCAACAGAAAAAAAAAAAAAAGGTTATCCTTTGGAATAATGTTTCTGGGTTGGTCAGGAAAGACTGATTATTAATTCATTAGTATGACCCTGATTGTTTCTTTCATGAACGAGAAGAAAGTGCTTTACTTACCTCAAGTTATCTCAGTTTTGAATTGATGCTTAATTAAAATTTAGTAGAAAATCACAACTACTCCTGTAACCCATTTTTATTGATCTTTACACATACATGCTTTTTCGAAATTGTTAAGTTGCTCTGTATGTCAAGGGAAATGTTTGTGTCCTAAAAATCATAAGATACAAAATGAGGCTTTGCAACAATTTTACACCAAAAAACCCCACAAAAATTAATTTTTGGACTGCCTATTGCTATGCCATCTTCAAGGAAACACTCTCATCTCAAGCCCCAAATGTAGATGATTTCTAAGAATAAAAACACATCCTCACACATTGTGACACAGAACCTGGGATTTTTCTCACTAGATTCATAGGTGCCTTTTCTTTGGAGAAAAAGAAGTGACGATTGCTTACAGGTACACACACTGGGGCCTGGAGCGAGGGTCTCAGGCCATTTAGGATCCAAGTGATTGCAATGTCTTGTTCTTATTTTTAGTCTTAGATGACATCAGGATATCAAAGGAAAGACTAAGCACTGGTTTGTGTCCATCTCTCCATCACTTGAAGCTTCCAGGTCAGCGCTGCCCAGTGTGAGGTAAGCACTATATGAGTGAGGCATGTGGCACCGAGAGTCGCAACCATGCCGTCCAGCTCTAGCTATACATACTAAAACATTTGCTGTTTTTCTCTTATTCTTCCTGAACTAGTTCACAAGTGGGTTTGAAAAACCCCCTCTGAAACCTCAACGGTACTGACTTTAATTTTTTTTTAAATTTCCCATAAAAGCTCATTTGAATAAATTGTTCCTTAATAAAAAATGGTTTAAGAGCAACTTCACACTAACATGCAAGGAGGTGCACAGCGCTTCAGAGCTCAAAGGACTTTGGACACCATGGAAATGTAGTAACTGCAATACCCTGGAAGCAGGTGAGGAAACGCCTCTGCTTCCCCATTCAATCAAAGAAGGAGCATTTCCTCTGTCCTGGTATTCGGGAGCTCCTGGGGTGCAGGGCCTCGGGGTGTATTTATTGCTTTTCAGAGTCTTGTGCTCGGCCTGAAGGGCATGGATGCGGGCTGGGATGGCTCCTCCCTGTGCCGTTCTGGCCTGTGTTGGGTGCTCTTTCTCATGAAGCCTCAGCTCAGGAATGCCAAGGACAAAGCGTTGCTTCCTGTGAAGAAGCAGGGCTGGGTAGAAAGGGGAAAAACTGGATTTTTCGCTTTTGACATTAACAAGTTGCAAGACGCCCAGGACATTCTTATCCACCTTATTACACCCCATTCCCCGGCTTGGGCAGGGAAGGCCCGTGCCTGGGAACGGTGCTGGTGCTCCTGAGTTGTTGAGCTAATAAGACCTATAAACCCCAGCTCATAAAGCACCCATAGTGGTGTGAGTTATGAAATTTCGAATAATTAGTCTGGTTTCTGTGTAAAAATGATTCCATAAGATGCTCATTATTCCAGTGCTGTCTGCTTGTTTCACAGGTAGATGGGAGTAGGAGAAAAACCTGGCAGAAAGGGGTGCTGATGGCTGTTTCTGAGGAGAGACGGGGTGTGCGCCCTGAAGACGGGCGTGCATGAGTTCATTGGCGGTTGGCGGGATGCGCACCAGTTGGATGCTGCAGTCCCTGCAGAAAGGGGAAGATGCCAGGGGGGTTTTCCTCATGTCGATAGTCTCAGAAACAAGTGAACAGTAAGAAAGGGGCAGTGACTGGGGGGTGTCGTGCAGAATGTTGCCGAGCAGTGAACGGTGAGTGGGACTGTGCTGGGGGCCAGCCCTGCTCTTCAGCTCTCACCCCTCAACCTTTGTGCTTGTGCTCGGCTGAGCATCAGCTCTGCACGGATTTCCTCCCCTGGAGATACATCCTGTGCCAGGAGAACCCCAAGCCCAGCCCAGGGGCGCCACACCCAGCTTCTTAAGGGGAAACTGAGCAAAGTCATATCCTAAGGGACAACTGAGGAGGATTCCTTGACGGGAGCAGCATTTGACCAAGAGTTTGAGAACGAGAAAGTGGGTGCCGAGGGACTGTCCTTATCACCCTTTCCTTACCTGGCGATTTATGAACATGCTGGGCTGTGAGGTGGCGGAGCTGGAAACGGGAGGGAGCATTTTGCCCAGAAAGAGGAAGCAGAGCTACAGCCCACGCCCCGGGGAAGGCCCAGCCCCTGGCGTTCAGGGCACCTCATCCATGCCCCCTGCTGCACTGAGTGACAGGGTGTGAGCTCGGGGGCTCCCTCATTGGGTTGGGGGGGGGTCTACGTGCGTCAGACTTGAGCAGGTTGGGCGGGTAGTAGGTCCTTGCTGTGAATGGGTCCTTCGTGATCGTCAAACCCTCGCTCGTGTCAAGTGAGGTCAGTTTCCCAAACCAGCAGGCGTCCGTGTGCCCCAGCTTCCTGCTCACCGGACCCCGTCCCTGGTTCCTCATCTTTTGCTTATTTTGGGATCTCCAGTTTTTTTGCATCATACGAACATCTTTAATAATTTTATTGGAACATGAACTTTATAGCATGTTACCCTCGAGGCATTTGAAATCTTACTGGATCTTCTTCGATCTCATGCCGGCGGGCAGTCTCCGCCTGAGTTACATCAGAGGGAGCTTCCGTGTCTTCTGGGACACGAGAGGGTGGGGGCTTGGCCTGTTTCGTTGTAGCCGGTGGTTTGGATGCTGAGAATGACCTTTGCGGCGAGGCTTTGCTGCCAACAGCTCTGGTCTCCCGGGCGAGCGAGACACTTAGCACCTGCCGGCCCGTGCTCGGCCCTGCCTGGCGGAGAGCTCGGCCTCGCAGCTCCCAGCCGGCCCGTGCCAGCCCCTCAGCCTTTGTTCTTGACTCTGACTCACGCTGTCTCCACTTATCCAACACTGCTCACTGCCTTCCCATCTTTGATCTAACAACAAATAATAAACTGTTCGGGAGACCAAAACTGAATTTTTACTGGCTCAGCTTTGCCTGTGTTAAAAAAAGATCCTGTGTTTCTCTGCTTTTAACTCCCCCCAGCCAGCAATGGTTGCATTTCAATTTTTCATAAAACCCCTGATTCCAGTTGGGGATCCCCCCCGGCCCCCCGAGACACCTTCCCTTTCTTCCTTGGCCTTGCTCTGCTCGCCCTGTCTGATGTGCTGTGTGGGGATTCCCCGCCGCCGGGGCTGCCAGAGGGGTCATGGCCCAGCGTGAACCAGGCGCGCACTCACTGTGCTTCCTGGTAAGTCAGTGAAAATGAGGCTTTTGAGGCGAAATGAAAAGCAAAATAACATGCACCTCACAGCGTCACCTCCGTGTATTTCCCCACCAACACGACATGCCTGCAGGTCCGTTTCCACTTCAAGGCAGCAGTGGTGTCTGTGGACCATGGTGCGCTGAGTCAGCGGGATGTCCCCGTGAAAAATGATGCTCTTGCCTAGAGGAGGCCACGTGATAATCAGGTGCGTGGACCAGGAAAGCCTGGATGGGTTTCTGATTCAGTTTTGTTCCAGCTCTATGCTCAGTTCCTCATTTGCAGCAGTGCAGGGAGTACAGACTGTAGAGATGGCACAAAGTAGGGCGGCAGGGGATAAACGCTGCAGGTGGAGCTTCAAAGGCTGGGGTGGTTCTGACCCGGGCTCAGGTCTGCATCCTGAGCACATGGCAGTGGGCGGTCTTGACCCTGGCAGCCTGGCCTCCGTGCACTTGTATTTAGGGTGAGCTGGGAGTAGGCTGGGGGAGCTTATTCAGTGGCGATTTCTGGCGTTTGAAATGCCCTCTACCACAGGGGGTGGCCAGGCAGCTTCCTCAGGTGTCTGCCTAGGGTGGGAGGGGTGTGACCTGAATATCAGAGTCTATGAAATTGAGTCAACAGTGCTCGAAGGGACTGTCCACACACTGAAAATACAGATCAGACCTGTGTGTTTTTAAACTCTGCTTGCAGAGGCTTCAGTAGTGAGCAATTATCAAGGAATCTGACAATCGGCAAATATGCCCTGCAGGCGAAAATGTGCCAAGGAGAAACCATCGGAAAATAGCATCAATTAGCTGTGGTTATAAGTCAGTAAATTGGCGAGTGGTTCTAGAACCCTCTTCATGCCCTTCCCGCTGTGCTACAGACATTGCCTCTGTGACTGTCAGGTTTGGGATGAAACCCACAGGACTAGGTGAGTCCACCAGTGCTGACTTGCAGGTTTTAGGAAGAGGGAGAACACCACATGGGTAATGTCTGCAGGACCCTGTGTATCAAAACTAGGGTGTACCCAGGAGCTGGGTGAGATGAAATGGCAGCTGCTGCTCTTCCCAAGGCAAGATGTGCTTCCCTGCTTTGGAAAATTTCCCAGTGGTTTTCCCTTCCAGTTAGGAGTCCTGCCTCGGGGAACAGGGCCCAGACTTTGGTCCACACAGCCAGATGCTCCAGCTGTTGCCAGCTGGGGGAGGGGAGGTCAGGTGGGGGAGAATCAATGCTGAGAAGGAGCCCTCAGAAGCAGAACACTTAACTGTAGACCTGAGTAAGCCCTCACCAGAGCCTGCTGATGGAAGAGGATTTTATTTTCTCAAAGGGACCTCACAGGAACAGAGGAAGACTCGGCCCCGGGTCACGGCAGCTGGCAGCGTGACTTTGGACCTATGTGTTTGGGGGAAGAACTGACTTTTTCAGGGTGATGTTAAGTTTGGAAGCCATATTATGGGCCAGTCATTTTTGCTTTGCCAATTTTTGGGGTGCAGGTGTGAACAAAGAAGAGTGAAGTTGGAAGTGATTTTTGCTTTGCTTCCCTGGAGGCTCGGCGAGGGTGGGGAAAGACAGCTGTCTTCTGTGTATTTTCAGTAGCCAGCGCGGTTCCCTGAGAAGTGCTGCCCAATGTCTCTCTGCTCCTGTTCCTCATTTACCCGCAGAATAGTCCTCTGAAGAACTAGGCATTTATACAGACATTCATTTGTGCAACGTATCTCCAGTAACCTGGGTTCCCGTTCAAATAAACACAAACTTGCAAAAACACTCTTCACAGCTCACTCCAGAGAAACCAAAGCTCCCAGTTTCCATCATGAAACGGAACATGTTGCCGTCTTCAGGGCCATTGGGGAAAACCAAAATTCCCGTGAAAAAACCGAGGGGTCTTTATGCCTTAACTTCATTTTTTATTCCATGTAAATCCTTGTTCTTGTCATCTCAGAGGCTGCACTCTGAATAAGCTGGGACGTGTGGCGCTGAGGCTGGGCTGTGGGGGTCCCTTCGCACTGGCAAGGGGGAGCAGTCAGAGCAGTGATGTGACTTTCTGGTTCTCAGTCTAGTGCCCGGAAGGCTCTGGAGGTAGTGGAGGGTGCGGGGCTATATACCAAGGAGCTGCTGCTCTTTGACATCAGTCTTAGTGATGACTTTGTGGACTTGTCTCCAGACAGACATGAGAGCCTATAGACACATGGGGCTGTGTCAAACTTGAAAGCTTCTGCACAGCTGAAGAAACCATCTGACTGCAAAAGGAGCCTGCCGAATGGGGAAGAGATTTGCCAACCATGTATTGGACAAGGCGATAAGAGCCAAAATATATGAACAACTCCTACAACTCAACAAAAAAACATGTAGCCTTATTTTAAAAAGGCAGAGGATCCAAATAAGCATCTCACCAAAGAAGTTGTATAGATGTCAGTGACACGAGATGTCTTACATCAGAGATCATCAGGGAAGTGCGAAAACCACAGTGAGATTTTACCCCACAATGGTTAGAATACTTATCAAAAAGTCAAATTAGTGGTTATGAGGATGTGGAGTAAAAGGGACCCTTGTGCACTGCTGGGGATATAAATTGGTGCAACTACCATGGGAAACAGCATGGGAATGCCTCAAATTAAAAGCAGGTCTCCCCTATGACCTAGTAATCCCACTTCTGGGAGTTTACCCAAAGAATATGAAAACACCAATTGGGAAAAAAAAAAACAAAACACATGTGCCTATATGTTAATTGCAGCACTAGTCACAGTGGCTAAGGCAGGGAACCAGCCCGTGTGTGAGCGCAGGTGAATTGATAAGATGTGGTATACGCGCACAGTGGCATACTCTGCTATCAAAATGATGAAATCTTGCCATTTGCAACAACATAAATGGACCGTGAGATAATGGTAAGTCAAATTACCATGCAATTTCATTTGTTGATTATAAAGAATGAATGGGAATTGAATAAAGAAACCTGAAGAAGCCCATCGAGTGACAATAGAAGGGCGTGGTGGGTAAGGGGTAGGTTCAGGAGGCTGGTTGGGCAGTGGGGGTAGATGTAATTGAACGTTTGGTGGTGGGTGTGGTATGACAGGTGATGAGGTGAGGAATTTTACACCTGCAACTACACAGTTATAAATTAGTACTACCTTAGTAAAAGGAACTATTGGACTTCTGGTTAGTAAGAACTAGACTTTCAAGAATAAAATCACTGGGATCCCTGCAAAGCCCTCTCTCATTTGTCATCTTAGTTTGAGCAGGACTGGGCCGCCCTGTGACACTGCACTCAGAGGAAGAAAGTTCTGGAAGATCTTCCCAAATGTGAGTGGCCAACTTCCAAAGTTTCCTCTTGTTGAGGGTAGTGCTATTGTCAGTCTCAACGTCTGCTTTATAAAATTAAAATAATGGTCTATGAGACAGCCTGGGCTGCTGGGCGGGGGGGTGGTGGGGACCAGGTGGGTATCACTGAGTCAGCACACAGGCGACTGCTGTTAATACACACCACGGGCAGTCTCCATTTTGTGTGTATTTAAAAACGTTGATGGTCAATTAGAACAAGCACTGAGCTGTATAAAAATGATACTAATTGTGCAAATTTGCCTCATGACGAGTTGTTGATCAGCAGGTCAATGAATTGCATTTATTTAATGCAAGTTCTTATCTGGCATCTCGGGGTGTCTCCAACTCTTCACAAAGAAATGTTGAAAAGAGAAAATGTGATTATATCCAATTTTTTTTTTTTTTTTTGTGAACAGCCTTTCCATGTTCTCAATGTATTTTTAGAAGAGATTGGAAAGAACTGTTTGAAAACTCCCATCCCCTAATTTAGAAACAGCACACAAAAACTACAAAAAACACTCTTTTCCAGAAAAATGGTTTTAAACATCAGTTTATGAAAACACTTGGTATTATAATTATAGTTAAATTTCAGTCTGTTTAAGATGCATGCATGTGCATGGGTTCAATATCTAAACCAAAAATGATACAATCAAAAATGATACAAAGATGATTCAAATACATAATTTTGTATTTACTTGCTAAAAACACATTTTTTAAATGATTCTTTAAAGAGTAAGTGGAAGCACGGGCTGCAGTTATGTGGAAAAAGATGAGTTTTGTCTTTAAATGTTACCGGTATGGTTAGATGGTAAATGGAATACAGAATCACTGGCCCTTTTAAGTTACTACTGTACATTGTCACTACATCAGCTTCGTGAAATTCTTTAACTGCCAAATGTGTTTAATAAGCTCACTCTTAAAAGTTGAAGAATAACATAAACATAAATCTGTTGAATTCAGATCAGTACAACTCAAGACATAAAATATACTGATTCCAATTTGTAATAATTGTGTCCTAACCTATTCATTGGCTAGTAGGTAAAAAACCTAGAGAAACTAAATTGAGGTGGCTACTACAGAAACCTCCCAGGAAACCAGAAAGAACTTGCTCATACTTTTGCATGGAGGGACGTCTAAATTCCCTTCTTAATTTGGGAAGAGAGTTTGCAGGAAGTTTTCCTACTGGGAGTCATCTGTAGAGGCATTTCCTCTATCTACATATGCCCCTCAGTCCGTCAAGGAATTCCAATCAATGTTGACTTTCATCGAATGTCAAGCACAGGCTAGTACAGTGGAGAATAACAGGCTCTGAGACTGGAGACTTTGGGGTCCATGGAGGTCCCTTCTCCAGCCCAGAGACGCCAGGCCCTGTGCTTGGTGTGGACTATGATGATCGTGGTGATGGATCTGCTGGTCTGTTACTTAAGCCTGTGTCTCATCCTCCGCCTGCCAGGCCGCGTGTATGTGACGTGGCCTTCATACTTCTGTCACCTTGTTTACCTATGAAGCAAATGTTTCCAGCACCCACACTTGGTGAAAAACAATAGTCTTTGCTTTTGCGAATTATATAGTCAAGTGTGCAAACCAAAAAATGAATTATGATTTGCAGCGTGGTGTGAAGTGCAGATTCTGAGGGGAGCTACCATGGTCCCAATGAAGCGTCTGCCAGAAGCCAGCCTTCTGAGGAAAGGTGGTGCATATGAGCTGCTACTTCATTTGTAAGGTTCCTCATACGTTTGGCACAAGGAAAAGCTAGACTTGTGTTTCTGATGATCAATTCTAAGGGCTTGATCCTGTCACATTGGTAGGGGTTTTCGTTCAATAAAAAGTTGCCCCCAAAATGATTTCAGGTGGTAGAAAATAGAACCTTATTTTCTTACAGACCAATCACAAGAAAATGAATTTAATAAAATTGTTTCAATGATTTTAGTAACATCTAGAAGACCCCTTGGATATTAAAAGGCCATCAGCTATCACGGAGCGAAGCTCCCTGTGCGGTGTGTACTAGGGGCCCAGTGTGCCTCCCTGTGTGGTGCCCACCATGGGTGTTTCTCCCAGGTTTGCTTTGGGCTTTGAAGGGGGTTTCTTGGGCAACAAACACCCACTGTGGAGGGACTGCGGCGAAAACCAAGTCCACACAGCCTCTAGCCTTGAAGTCATAACATCAAGGGCTAATATTGGGGTGGATTTGAGCGAGACAATGTGCTTCTCTGACATGCAACCGTACCCTTCCAGAAACAGGATACAGTGTAATTTAGAAATTTCAATACCCACATTGTTCCATCCATTTAATGGCCAAAGACATGAAAACCATAGTTAGCAAGTAACCAATTTAGAGATTTTCAGAACTGAGGAGAGAATGCACATTTTCATCACTCCACAAAGATTGATGGTCATTACTGATGCTAGGATAAGGAAATGCTCTGGAATATGAAAACCTGGTAATTTACAACCCACTCGTTTCAATGCCTCAGGCTTCATTTTCAGGACTCCCATTAGGGACACATACCTGCCCCTATTGTGTCAGTTAGAACGACCGCGATGGCTTATTTTCATTGCTTCGGTCATTTGGTGCTGCTGAGAATGAATAATCAATTTGTAATTATATTTTAGGAGGAAAATCAACAATTATACACATTGTTTTGATTTCAGTGAACATAAAAATGACTCAAACATCGATAGAGAAATAAAACGACACAAACGTTAGTTTTGCTCTCAGCCTGATGGGTGAACGCAAATGCTGTCTGGTGGAGTCATTCTGCATCACAGGCTCCTGCTTGCTTGCGTTGATTGAAGTGAGCATGAGCTGAAGAGCCACTGAAATGGAAACCAGGGCTCAGGACTTCTGTAGAAGCGGTTCTTGAAATGATGGAGCATGATTTTTGATGATTAATTTGTGCATTTATCGCTGCCTGTCATGAAGCTAAAAATATAATTGTGTGTTCTGTGGTCTCATGGTGGGTTTCTATAGACATTTTTCTGCGAGAATTCTATGTGTTGGGGACTGGGCTGTGCAGTGAGGGGTGTTAGCATCTCTCATCTTGCCCTTCTAGATGCCAGGAACCCCCCTCCACTTGCGACATACCACAGCATCTCAGACATTTGCCCTGTGTCCCCTGGGAAGGAAAGGGAAGGAGTAAAACTTCTGGGGGGTGAGAACCACTGCTCTGAAAGGCACTGGCATAGTTAGCACCTGTCACCATGCTCTCCAAGCATCAAGAACTCAAAGCTGGAGCATCAGCAGAAATGCCATTGTGATTGACCCAAAGCACCCCAATATATACATTCATTGGCCTCATGATTTAGTTCAGATCCTTTACCAGCCCAGAACTTTCTGCCTTAGAAACTGTCAGGACAAAGCTCTCTGGAGAGACCACAACTTGTTGTTCCAGATTGTGTTAATCCCTGAGCTGTTGAAATATGAAAGCTACTTTCTGACATCAAAATCCTTTGCAAGGATGGGCTCCCTGCATTTCCTCTGACACTTTGGGGTGACATTTAGATATTTGGTTTAAGGACTGCAAGTTATTAATCTTATTTGTTTCACTGGCATTTCACACACACACCCCTTTTACCTGGGATGCTGGTTGCTATAAATTATTGTGTCAAAGTCCTGTTAAAAGCGTCACCCAGAAGGGATTTCCCAGCCACCCAATATCAAAATGTAGACAAGATGATCATAATTGACAGTTGGCATCTTTATGGCCTCGGGGTCTTTGAGTTAAATCTTTGTTTTTTGAGTGAAATCACCATGGAGTGGAGAAATGCGCTAGTAAATGGCATCCCCTAAGTCTGTCTGCTTGTGAGGATTTCACGCCAGGTTATGAGCTGAAGGTGGATCTAAAACAAACATTGGTGTCTCAGTCTTAGACAGTCGGTCTAGTTAACTTTCCATGCTGATGAGAAATCCGAACGCTGAGTGTTCAAAAACAGTTCCAAAAAAAGGTGAATTCAGGGGGGAAAAAAAAAAAAGCATAAAACAGGCCAAGCAAGAAAGACAATATCAGCCTAGGGATATCCCATTCAAAACATTGAAATAATACAATCATCTCTTATGAGAAAATGAAATTCCCTTTACCAGTTCAGGGCAATGAAATCCAAGAAAGTGAGTTATCACTGACTCCCTGGAGGAATTTAAGAGCAGTGCCTGACAATTTCCTTTTTTTTTTTTTTTTTTTAAGGTTTTGACATTATGCCCGACAGAGAAACTCAGATGCCTTTTTAAATTAAAAGGAAGAAGAGGTAAGTGTAGGCACCTGAGTGTTTGCTACATGAGAAGATCATGGGAAATAGGAAACAAGGAACATTTTCCTGTTGAAAAATGATCTGCAAAGAACAAGGCTGCTTAGGCAGGAGATTAAGAAAGCGGCTGGAGGAGCCGGGGCCTGCAGCGGAGGGTCCTGGAGGTGTGTCACAGTGCCTGAGGCAGCACGGAGGTCTGCAGCGCAGGATGGGCCGGGCAGATGACACACTAGCGACCCTCCGAGACCTGATCACTCAGCTCCAGTGTGAGTCTCATCAGTCTTGGCGACTGCAGTCCGGTGGCATCGCTGACCCTTCCCCTTCCGAGCTCACCCTGCCCCTGCTCAGGGCCGCTGGTGTTTCTGTATCGCTCAGGGTCGGGCCTTGTTCTTCAGTATAGAATGTTCCCTTCTGTGTCCTCCCCTCCCCTCCTGACTCAGTGGTGGCACAAGTGTCAGCACCCAGGAAGCTTCTATATTATGTATCCCTGGCACTTTGCATTTTGTTTGATTTCAAGGAATTGTTTTACCCTAAGTTTGTTTTTTTTTTTTTTAATTTTTTTTTTTTTAATAGAGGCATGTTTTATTTATTTGTTTTGTTTATACATGCACTGGGTACAGTCAGAAGCGCGGGAGGGTGAGAGAATTCACCAGAGCCAGAGCGGGGAGCAGAGCAGGCAGAAGGACCGAAGTACACTGCTGAGGGGAGCAGCGGGCGGCAGGAGAGGTCTGCGCGCCATGTGGGACCCTCCTCTGGTGGCCGGGGAGCAGCCGGGGATCGAACCGGCGCTGCAGAGGCCGCGGGCAGCTTCGCAACCCAGCGCTCAACCACTGCGCCACCGGGGAGGCCCTAAGTTTGTTTTTTTAAAGATTTATTTATACAGGCACTGGGTAGTATAGTCAGAAGCGCGGGAGGGTGAGAGAATTCACCAGAGCAGGGAGCAGAGCAGGTAGAAGGACCCAAGTACACTGCTGAGGGGAGCAGCGGGCGGCAGGAGAGGTCTGAGCGCCATGTGGGACCCTCCTCCGGTGGCCGGGGAGCAGCTGGGAATCGAACCAGCTTTGCAGAGGCTGCGGGCAGCTTCGCCACCCAGCGCTCAACTGCTGCGCCTCCGGGGAGGCCTACCCTAAGTTTATTGGTGCAAAAGGAGCCAGAAACCATGTGGTTTTTGCCACATAGTGAATGTTTTTGAAAGGAAAGATGAGAGGGAGTGAGGGAGGAAGGGACATTCCTTGTCTTCGGCCTCTTTTCTTTCCCAGGCCCTGACTTTAGTTAGAGGACACACCTGCCCTTGGAGTTAATCACCCAATTAACGTGCAAGATGCTTTCCTGAGCACATCGTAATGGATATAATAAACAAAGACAAGTCTCTGCTCAGAAGAGATTCCACTGTTTTCAGAGGAAAATTCTACCATTTTCTTCGGCATGATGTTGGAAAATTAGTAAACTCTGTTCCATTATTTTTAAATAAAGGATCATGGTAAGACCTTCCCACTCGGGCTGCCATAGGGATTGGGCTACTGTGTTTTAGGATAAGTGCCTCCCAAATAATTCCCCTCTTGATGTTTGTCCTTCATCCCAGACTTGGGACATGGCAGGGAATGGGGGGCGATGCGGGGGGCTGAGGAAACCCAAGTCTTCACTGCGTGGCTCATGGTGCATGCAGAAAGCCAGGCTCACCTGGCCGGGCCCCAGCTGCACTCACCATCTGTGGCTGGGCCTTGGGATAAGTTGCTTGGCCTCATGGTGCTGGACGTACTCGTCTGAGGTAGGGCCACCAACCACACAACTCACTGGGTTTTCAGAGGGCTGAGGAAGTTGGTACTGGCGGGAGCACCCCATGAGGTTGGGCTGCTGTGGTCAGCGCCCCTCTGACTTGCCTGCAGTCTTCTCAGCACTTAAGCCATGTCTCCTTCCTTCTCTCTGCTCCTAGGGCAGCCCTGCCTGGCCGCCTCTGAGCCCCAGTGCCAGGCTGAGGGTCACACCCTCACTTCACTGTATCTCCCTATCTTGTCACCAAGCCCCAGTGAGGAAGTGCTGTCAAGAGAAGCCACCTCTGTGGTGGACATCACCACCTTCACCTCAGTCACAGCGGCCTCAGCCCGCACGGCCCTCCCCGAGCCTGGCAGCCTCTGCCAGGGCCCTCTTGGAGGGAGAGCTGCCAGTACATGTGAGAACTGCCCTACTCCCAGTGTGAGGAGCATGGAGAAGCTCAGCCTGGGGACAGGCGGCTCCATTGGCAGCTCCTAGGAGGAAGTGACCTTTGTCCCGTTCTGCCTTTGAACCTACTGGAAACGCCTTTGCAATGCTGATTTGTGGTGATAAAATTGAAGGAAAAGCAAAAAGCTCCCAGGCTGAGTCAGATGCAACCCTTTTGTGCCCAGGAAGAAATTTTCACAACTGTGCAAAGCTTCACAGTGGATGACTCAGTGGGTGACAGGCCCAAGACAATGATCTGAGCGCATGGGGGCCAGGTCCTCAGAATGCAAGACTACTTGGTCATGCTTTTTTCATTCTAGAATCTTTAAAAAAAAATTCAAGTATTTTTATTGAGGTCATGTTGACTTTCAACACTGCATGTGATTTTGGGGGCAGGTTCACGCCTCTTCAGAGGCACGTTACACCCACACCCATCACCACCCCAGCCCCCCGCTACAGTGGAAGCTTAGTCTGCCATATTGAGTATTGAGCAAGAAGTTGCACTTTCAGAATGAGTCAATTAAACAGATAATCAAGAACAAGAACTACCGTGAGTACAACTTCAAGTACCTATTGGCTTGCATTTGGTACAGTGGAAATTCATTTGATAAGCATAAATTTGAGAAGTCTCAGTATATACATGTGTAAAGTTGATTCATAAGTTTAATCTGCATGCATTCTTGAATTTACAATAATGTCAGTGATTTAGGATCCATTGATCTACGTTCCAATGAGAAGGTCCCCATCAGGTATTTGTTAAGAAAATGTATAAGCTGTAAGAATTCCATAATATTCAATCATGTTTTTAAAACATGGTTTCGATTAAGTTTTATATTTTATCCAAAATTGGTAGATATTATAGTAGCTACTCCAAAGGAACAGACATCACTTTGCTAGAAAAAAGTCAATTTTCCATGTGGTACTATGAAATGTGTGCTGATTTTATAGACAATTTACTTGTTTCACAACCCACAGAAACAACCGTGACCAGTTAGCTGGTAACAGATCAGGGCTACAAACTGGCTATTTGCTGTTTCAAGAGCATGACGGTGTTGTTTTTCTGCACTCATGGTTGTAGTTCTAAAAATGGGAACAGATCTCCCACCTTCAGAACTTCCTTGTCTCTGGCCCCAAGGTGAGACAGATGGTGCCGGTGGGGCGGCCAGGCGCCCAGGGCAGCGCTGCGGGCACGGGTGGGTGTTCGACTCAGTGTTTCTGTGGATCTGGCAATGCGGCCACCAGGGCCAGGGAGCTCTTGTGGAAGTTGTGGAAAGCTGGCTTCTGGGGGTGTGGGGCCCTGGGTGGGTCTGGAGGGGGAGGTGCTGCATGCAGCCTCCCCCTGCGTGCGCCGGGCCTCGGGCCTCCCAGGAAGCCTCTGCACGCCCCAGCCGGCCGGCCCAGCCCTCCAGCAGCCGCTGCAGCGATGAGTCAGGGCAGGGAGTGTGCGGGTGAAAGGGCAGCGTGACAAAGCCGCTCTGTGCCTCTTATCGGCACGGGGGCCCCGGCCATGAGAACAATGGCAGACCCTCCTCCGTCACCCGCCATCACCGAGACCTGGCTGGGCTGGGAAGCCTCCCAAGTCCTGGGCAGGTCGCGCTGCCGTCGCCTGCACTGCCCCTGCCGTCAGCCGCCCTGGGTGGTGAAAGGCAGGGAGAGGGCAGCTTTCCTAGGAGGCTGTGCCCACCGCTGCTCAGGCCTCAGCCGCTCTAAGGTCACCGCAGGCGGCGAGTGTTCTCGACACAGCCAGGCCATCGCCTCCCCTGGGTTCTGTCCTTTGACATAACCTCCACATTTCCCTGCCCCATCCGTGCGGGGCAGTGTGAGCCGAGAGGTCAGCTCGTGCCCATCACAGGCCCAGGAGGGCACTGAGCACGAGGCTGCGGGCAGCTCCCCACACGCTAGCTAGATCAAGGACCTCACCTGGGCAGACAGCTTGTGCGAACCACTTCATCCTGTGTCTGCCGCCGCCACTGAAGGAGCAGGATAGTGATGCTGTCCACCTTGTATGTCCACCTCGTTTTTCTTGAATGCACCGTTGCATGAAATCGGGCAGGAGGCCTCGGGACAGACAGGGCTGAGGTAGATGCTGGCGTGAGCCGTGCCGTGGGGATGGGCGCGTCCCTGGGCCCAAGCGGCAGGAAGGGCAGATGGGCAGATGGTCGGCCCTAGCTGGGAGGGTGAGGTGGCAGCAGGGCTGGTCTGCAGCGTGAACTGCAAGGGCCTGTGGAAGGGGCCCTGGGGGACGCGACCTCCCCGCACTGATGGTTTCTGGGGGGAACCTAAGAAAGCCATTGCGGGGGCCACAGCAGAAAACCTGAGACACGCTCATCTCTGGTCAGAACAGACCACGAGAAGCAAGGGCCTGGGTGGGGGTGGTCAGCGTGGGGCAGCCAGGCTGGGGTCTCCTAGATCATGGAGCTCAGGGCTTGGCCCTCTGTCCCCTTGGCCATCCCTGCAGGGCGCCGAGGCTGGGCCAGGTGCCAGGGTCAGTGCCACACACGTGTTCATTGGAAGACAAAGGGACGCGGCTGCAGATGACCAGTCAGCCTGTGGAGGAGCCCGGGCTTCACTTCTGGCCTGCAAGACCAGGGGCCACAGTGGCTGTCACCAAGGAGGGACCCGAGGCCACGACCCGGGAGCTCTGTAGATTTTGCGTGTGCTGAAGAGTCAAGTTTTTTGCATATGTGGCAGACCACGACCTCCACGTTTAGAGCCTCTCGCTTAAAGTTCTCCACAAACAGCGTCACTGAGTGGACTGGACGGCAGGCAGATGACTGCCCCTGCTCAAGTACCTTTATGTGGGTCTCGGCAGGAGGTAGCTGGCATTCAGTTTGGATTTCTCTAATTTTAGACGCATCAAGGAGCCCCAGGAAGGGGTTTGTAATGACTCACAGCATTCTTCCGGGTTTGCCCAGGGAGGGTCACAGCTGAGTGTGTTTATAAAACTCTCTGCGCGCGTGTGTGTGCGCACAAGCTACAGAGAGGAGCACAGAGAAAGTAACGGAATCATCTGTCAGTTCATGGCTTATCAAAGCTGTAATAACTAGTGTTTTTTAAAGTAAATTTGACAGTGAAATTTTAACTGGAAAATGATAATAGGTATTCGTCCTATAATGCTTATGAAAGGCAAACCGTCCCCAAGCTGCCCATTTCATTGTAGAATGGTGAGGACATGCAGAAATTTTTCCACAAGGAAATTCACTATCAGAATTGGTGTTCAGCAAAATATAATGTATTAAAAAAAATTGGAAGATGGCAGAAAACATTTCTCCAGAAAATCCTGTGCAGTTTGGAATTAGAGTGAACCATCTCGTATTCAGATCTCTGATAATTTTCAGAAGTAATAAATGTCTCCAGCAACATAAAAAGTAGTTACCCCCATGATGAAAATAATGGGATGAGAAGACCTGGCTTTATGACACCGTCAGTGAATTCCTTTCAAGGTGTATTCTGTCGTATGTTTGAATCATCAGAATATCTGTGTGTGTACAGACATGCACTCGCCATTAGAGCCTATACTTTTAATCACTACATTCCAGTACTTTCTGAAATTGTTTTCTTTCATTTTCTTAGTGACGAGTGCAGCCCCAGCGGGAGGAATTCCTGTTTACTCACAGCACTTACCCAAGGCGCTGAGCACAGCTCCGGTGCTGCTCACTATTTGGAGATCAACTCAGGGGCCTGCATTAGTTTTTCAATTTGTTCTGCTGCCCATAAACATCCAAAGCATTCTTCTAGAATATTCCTAATTTAATTTCGTCATGGTCACTGTAAGGAACTTAAATCACTTCCGACTATGCATGTATACATTAAAAAATTCAATATTTCATATTTGCCCTCAATTGATACCAGGAACTGCTCAGCACTTTTGAACATCTTTATACTAAATCCTTAGAAAATCTTTTTGTAATGGCTATTTATTTGTATTGATAACTAACTGAAAGTCATGAGTTACGGACTTTGTAAGGGAACTCAGGACTGGTCTGGTACTAAGCAAAGATTCTAAAACACGACTCCATGTTGTCTGTTTTGAAATTATTCATTCAAATCAGGTTAATAGGAAGATGGTGTAAATATCAAGGACAGTTAACCAAAACAGGTGTCTTCCATATAGATGTCCTTCAATATGCAGTTGCTAACAATCTTGCATTATAACATAGGAACTCTGAAAATTGCTTTTTTATAGGAATTTTATTCACCATTTTAAAATCCGTGAGCACACACTGTTTAATGTTTCAATCCTTTTAAGAGCTGAGACTCTCTTCCCCTCTCTTTGGAAAGAGTGAAATTGAATGTGATAGCCAGCTCTGAATGCCCGTCAAGTTGATTGGGTATATGGATTCCAAAGGCCCTTGAAAATCAAGCAAAATTTCCTCTCTGCTTATAAGTCCCCTTATATTTCGAACATGTAAGATGTCATATGTGCGGTATCATTTTTCAGGGCCTTGGGTGTTAAAACAACTGATTAAGTCACAGGGCCCTTGCTAGGGAGTAAAGGAGTGATCTGTGAGCAAGTCAGATCAGTACCTTATTGGGTAGGTTGTCAAGGATTGTTAATGCAGATAAGACTTAGAGGAAATTCTCTCCCCCTGTTAGGAAAACTGAAGAGTGGGAAGCTCGACCTTGGAAGGCTCTCTGATCGCCACCAGCGGACTCCAAAAATCCTAGAGTAAAGCTTCTAAAACTTGAAGACAAGTATGGACTTGAAAACATCCATTGTAGGTTTTTTTCACATGAGAAGATGTGCATCTATTTTTTTTCTATGGCAGCTGAATTAATTGCCTTCTTTGATTTTGAAGTTATACTCTATGCAGCCAAATTAGCAAGCGGAGATAAGATTAGGGCAGCCCAAGTTCATTTCTAATTTGTTTGTCATCTTTCAGTGGCATCTTGAAACTACCGCAAATTGCTCAGTTGATTTTAATGTTTCCCTTCAGTTGAAGTAGAATCATTAAATACTTGGAGTTTTTATTTTTACTTTCCCCCGCCCATCTGATCGACTCGGTAGTTCTTGGGCTCGATAGTATGAAATCACCAGTCACTTCTGCCAAGGTGTGTGGTGCAGCGAGGCCTTCTCTCTGAAGTGCTAAAAGCACCTCGTGTTTTCTGCCAGACTCTCCCTGTGCCTCAATGCAGAGAACTTGGCAAGGTTAATGAGCTTTTCCAAGTAAGTATACTGTACCCCGTGAATGAGGACTAAAAGCAATAAACACTAACAAGGATTCATTAAAATTTGGCTTTCAAACAAATATCCCCCACTCTTCTTCATCCAAAGAACAGCATCACCGCTGATGAAAGGCAAACCGTCCCCGAGCCGCCCATTTCATCTTGACTCAGATGCAGCCCATGCTCCAAATTTCATCTGTGGGATGAATGACAATCTGTCTTTTATCTTTCCAAACCTGTATGTTCTATTTTTTAAAAAGCTTTGGGGTTTTGAAAAATCAGTCTTGGTTTTTCAACTGGGGGAAGTAATCATTGGAATGGGTGTGTATTAAAAGGAATTGATATGGAGGATCAGCACTTTTTCTAGTATCAGAATCCCAACACTGAGTTTACTCAGGTAATGCAGTTTCAAGAGACGTCACCTGCCCCTCTCCTCATCTCTCCCAGTTCCTGGGAGTTCGCGGCCTGTCTTTCCTCCGCGCGCGGACGTGCCGCCCTCCTTTTCAGCCCTGGATTTGGGCTATCAGAGCTGCTTGTTAATCACCATCATCCATTTCCTCTAGCAAGACCACCTGGTGACAGAGCTCCTAACGGACCTTTACCCAATCTGCAGCCTGAGCCAAGCACTGCCTGGACCAGCTGTTCTGAATTGTTTTTAAACTGAGAAGAGCCGCCTTAGAAAGGGCCATTTTTTTTTTTTTTTTTTTTTTTTGACTTGGTAAGGGTCAGAGGACTCTTGAGACACAGATGTGTAGTAACGGAGGAGAGACATCCTCACGTAAGACTGTAATCATGATGGAGATGAGGAAGCCTGTACCCGTCTCTTTGAGCCATGCTACTCTCAAATGTATTTCCCTTTGGGTGCCATTGTGGCATGAAGGTAAATAGTAGGTTCTTAAGCTGCTACTAGTCACACACATCTTAGTATGAATTTCGTATGGCGTGAGGTTGGTGAACACACATTTCTCACTGAGCACCACGGGACTGGACTTGGCTCATGTTGTCAATGCCCCAAAGGACAGGCGGCTTTAGGTCGCTCCAGCTGTGGCAGGGACCAAGGACAAGGGTGAAAGAAGAAGCCAGGGACTGAGCTCACGTTTTAATGTGTATTACAGAGGATGCCCTGAGACTTCTCAGGGCACTCTGACCTCCAGAAGAGGGCCAGCTCTCAGGGCAAGCCAGGCGGACACTGCTGGCAGCAGGGGTGTCAGAAGGCTGACACAGGATTTTGTTTCCTTTTCCTCCCCTTTCCACGGATGAAGGAGCTGAAAAAGGGCTGGGGGAGAGGGTCCCGTGGAGTCAGTTCTTTCATCCTTGGGGGAAAGGGAGGCACGGGGCTCTGAGTCAAACCAGCCAATGAGAGAAAAAGGACCCAGTGTGCGATACTAAAATGAGACTCTTCAAAGATTCACAATGACTAAAAGTAGAAACTTTGATCAGATGTCATTAAGGGGATACAGTGGAGAAAATGGGTGGCATAGAAGGGGCATTAGAACTATAAAACCATTATTCCAACGAATATAGATTTCCTACACAGGGAGATTGCATTACCTTTTGTGTTATTTTGTGTTCTGGGCTCTGTAGTAAACAGTGTGCCTGAGAATCACACTTTGAAATGAATCGTGAGATCTTTATCATTCATTTGCCCTGTGTAGCCTACATGTCCATATTGGGTCAGTCATGGTTTAAGAATACATCCGAAATAATTCCATGTCTACAAAACTGAAAAAGAGAAAAACTGAGTTTCAGTTTACCGTCAAGCATGGTTTGTGATCTTGAAAGAGTGGAGCTGCTTACACTAGTATAGAAAAGGAGTCTCCAAGGAGAGGAAGCTTGTGGGCTCCAAAGTGTAGGATAGAGGTGCTTTGAGAGACACCAGCCAATAAAAGAAAAAGGACCTTAAGTGGTTGTGGTTACAGATGCAGGTAAGTGATGGGGTTAGTTGAAAATAAGTGGAAAATGAACTCCATGCCACTGACCTAGCAAACACCGTAGCTTAGCCTCGCCTGCCTTACAAGTGCTCGGAACACTGACATCAGCTCCAGTTGGATAATCACTGATCAAAGTCTACTTTAGAGCAGAGTGTTGAATATCTCACATAATTTATTGACTGCAGTAAGGAAAGTGAAAACCACTCTTAGGATATCAGATGGCTCGGTTGACTGGAAGCTTCCACTTGCTCCCTCTCCCCAGCATCACGGCAGAGGAGCCTACTACACACCACCGGCCCAGGGAGTGGCCAGGATTCAGGATCCCCTGTGTGGCCTCTACTGAGCACACATTGCTTTCACATCAGCATTGAATAAAACTGTAGGTTAGACCATTGTAAGTGGGAAACCGACTGTAGAATAAAATCCTAAGTCTGGTTGAGAAGGCGCTCATGACGCTATTGAAGGCCATGGACTGCGGTCAGAGCAGACAAAAGATTCTGCCCTCTTCACTTGACCAACTAGCTCACATCGGATCTGCCGTTTGAACAGTCTCTCCCCGAGTGCCTATAGGGTAGTTATATCTAAATATTAGTCTTGTGTTAGTGGCTGTAGATCTCCCATAGAGATACACCACAATCAATAGAGATAGTGAAATAGGGAGCCAGCTGGCTAATATTGATATGAAGTGGAAAAGTATCAGTGTTAAAATTATTTTAGATTTAGCTCTCAATTTTAAAATTCACATCATTGGTTAAATTCCATGCTGAAAGCAAAAGGTGATTCAACTCAGGTTTTATCTGGAGGATTTAATTTGTCACTGATTCCCCAGTGCAATTGTGTAATTTTTTATAAGCAAAAAGCCGGTAAACAATATAAATATCATCTTGATATTTATTAGTCTAATTAGTTGCATTTCCGAAATTCATTTAATATTCAATATTAAAAATCCCACGTTCCTCCTCTAAGGAAGAAATATCACCTATCATGAAATGAAGCAGAGCCTACAAAATTAGAGTTTTATATTTTATGTTTTAATATGCACAATGCGTATTAGCTATTAAATGGATTTGAATGTGAGTGAGTTTTAGAGCCTGTATCTTGTAGCTTAAGAAATAACGATGGGTTGGTTGGAGAACGTTGAGGCGGCTGCTTATTCTGTCTCACATGAAGAAGGTCGCCGGGACTGTCCGGTGCCCAGTGTCCACTCTCGGGCGCAGGCACGTGGCCGTTTGACGGGTGCCATTTCTCTGCTTTTCACAGGCCTGAATGAAGGTCACTTTGACCTGCTGCCCATTTTTTCTTAAGAACTGCTTTTAACAATCAGCCACTAGTGTACTTGTTTCTGGACTGACTTGAATTTTTGGCACAATATGAAAAGCATTTGGAAAGTGTAAGTAAAAGCCTTCCGTTTCAGAAGAAATAATGGCCCCATTTGCTATGGAAACCGGAGGACTTTATGAAAATGCACTCGACTGTTTTCTGCACTGAGCCTCAAATTATTCTAAAAATAAGTTGTATTCCTGGCATCTGCTAGCCAGTGTACAAAGATTTCATCTCATAAGGTTCTCCCTTTTAGAGAAAAACACCATGCCATTTGAATATTTCTTTTTTTCTATTGTTCAGGAAGTATAGAAAAATATACATGTTATATGCAGTAGGGACTCAACAGTGTGTTTTTAAAGATTATTTTTTCTGTGATCTTTAAACAAATGATTGATGTAACATTGGCTTGCAGCGCTGTAAACCAATAATGCATTTTTAAGTTACACGAAATGTCTGAAAGTCGTCAGATGACAATTGGGTCCGGCCTCTAATGTCCATTCCCATGCAAAGAGAACAAACAGGCACTTATCTTTGATGTTAAAATGAGCACATTTAATATTTGTTGGCTTTTCTGCAGATTAGCTTATATCATGAGGAACAAGCGAAATGAGATGCTACAGATTGTGAAAAATTTAGCAGACAACATGAGTGACCAGAGACAAAGAGCCTCCTCCTCTGGTGGACGCCTTGTGTCTGGGTCTGTTGCAGACCCCGGATGCTTTCCTCCTCCACACGGTGGTGGGGAGGGAGGGACAGGTGTGAAGCCACGGTCCTGCCAGCTTGCTGTGTGCCCACGACCTTTGCTAGGGGCTCCAGCGCTGGAACTCTCCGGAGGCTATCCCGCTGGTTACCCGGAGGGCTGGTGTGCAGACTGGAATAGGTGGAACTTTCTGGGTGATGTGGCCCTGTTATTCAGTGAACCCCGAGGCAGACATGGGCCGATGGACACCAAAATAACCACGCACACCCCCGTGTCCTCATGGGCCGGAGAAGATACCCATCAATCATAGAACCACTCCTGCAGGTGAGACTGTTGAATAAGCCAAGCATCCAATAGCTCAATTTTCACTCAAATATATAATGAGGGCCTGTAGGTTCAGGCACTATGTTAGCTGTCAGGACTAAAATGACAATGGATCCCGGCCCTCAAATATGTCCTGCTCTGTGTTGGCAAAGGCAGCTAAGCACTCACGGGAGAGGTTACAAGGAGAGGAAACTGCTTCCCCATACCTGCTTGAGGGCGGTCCAAGGGAGGCGGTTACAGAATTCAGACTTAAATCTGGCCACAGAGATGTATCTTGCCATGCACTTCAGGATGCCCTGAGTGGATCAGGCTCCTTGAGCCTGTTAGCCCCGCAGTCAGGGTCTCTGTACCTGTTGTCTAGTCTAGGGGTTAACTAAAGAGTTACTTTTCTGCATAATTTACCT